ATTTTTTGGCATTTTATGCCATAATATACTATGATATTTTTATCACATTTCATAACTTTTTATACCATAACCTATATATGCCTTATTATACTGTGACATTATTTTCTTGAAAGTTTTTATCCCTTGCTATACTAAACTTTTTTAATGTCTTACTGTACAATGAAATTTTTATGACATTTGCAAGCCTTTCTTTTCTATTATGTTTTTATGGCTCACTATAGTATGACTTTTTTTGCCTTTCCATCATATGACTTTTTTATGCCATATTACAGTTTGACTTTTTATGCCTTACTATACTATCATTTTTTTAATGATTGTTCTTTGAGGTCAATGTGACTTTGACCTTTGACCTTCAAACACCAAAATTTAATCACTAAAACCGCACTAATCAAGCACTGATCAGCTTTTGTGTCTCTTTGCCTAAAGAAAATCACATGATTGGGTGCTTACAGTACATATCTATTGACTGTGAATACCACAGGTTGGAGTCCTGCTGACTTTTGATATGCACTCACTCATCGATGACGCATCATGGAAAATTGAGGATTCAGTATGTTGGCCCAAGGACACTTTTATATGTCAAAAAGAGGAGCTGGGAATCAACCACCGTTAGTGGATAACCCACTGTACCTCCTGAGCCACTGCAGTTTAGTATAGCACACACCCTCTCGTTGAAACTAATGACTAATAATGAAATCTTCTGAAACTTAACTCCACCAACAAGGGACCTCAATCAAATCAGTTAATTCTGTATGGAATTTGTTATAGATATCATGTTTGTTTCTCTCACACGGCAGAAGCAGATGAAGCTTAATGAAGCGAGCAGGTGAACAACAAACGAAAAAGTCTCAGGTTAATGACTGACGGAGCCATGAATGATAGATGTATTGTAATGGGACACGAGGAGTAGACATGGAGCAGTTCGTCTCTTGCAGCCAACTTTGTGTCCATCTGTGATACATTCAAACTCTGATGGGATTCTTTATAAAAGCTGTTTTGTGTTTGAGAAAAGTGGAAAACTTTTTCCAGTCTGAAAACCAGAACAAAACCACATAGTGTGAACTGTTTGTATGAGCACAGGAGGTGGATAAAATAACACAAACAACTTATAACACTGATATGATGCAGAGAAGCTCAGACTGTTGAGATTGTCATGTGTTGATTTCCTCAAACAATGGTTGTAATTTTCAGAAGACATATACTCATGATTTTCCAGTCTTGACCAGGTTTTTATTTTGTGTCCACCTCTTGTAACAGGTACTGTTAGTCTTTGTTCAACATTTACCAAAACACCTTGAAATGGCAATTTCTCTCTCTAATGTATTTCCTTTTGAAATTGGACATCTTGGCAGCAAGTAAGTCAAATCAATGGAAAATTAGTTTGGAAGATGAAGGCTTGCTGATTTTAAAGAGCAGTCAAATTAATATAGGTTGGATTTTTGGTAAAGCTTACTTGTGCCGGACTTCTACAGTGATTTAGTACTAGATTTTTGTAAAGTTGGGGGAACTTGCTAGAGCCATATTGTAAAAAGGGTCTTTCAAAACTACTGTTGTAGCACAGACGATCAAAAATCGTCAGACTCTAAAATTTGAGATTGATCAAAGAAAGCAGCAGCATACTGAGAATACTCTATCTGCTGATAAAGATCATGTGATATGGTTGAAAGCTCCAGAACAAGCGAAAAATAGACACTGACTGGAAATTATTTCAGTCCTAAGAGTATTTATATTTTATGTATAAATTTAAAAACAAAATACAGTGTTTTTATAGAGCATGCAGTAAGGTCCAAAAGTCTGAGACCCCTTTGGACCGTTTTTTTTTTTACATGTATAAACCCATTACTGGTAGATATTGGGTAGTACAGAAACCTGTGTATATTGGCACCTTAACGGAAAAATTAAATAATACTTGCCCAGAAATGTAGGTTATGAAAAGTAAAGAAGTGAAGGATGAGTGTGGAGAAACTGAGGGAGGAAGAACGAAGACAAACCCAGTGCAATTTGAATCTTTTTTCTTTTTAATTTAAAACAAAATTTAATCTTTACATATTTTGTTTTAAATGTACAATCAAACAATCAATGTAATCATACATAAAATTCTTCATAATAATGCACAACTCTATCGACACTACCCATAAATTAAAAAAAAAAAAAAAAAAGGAAAAAACATCGAGATCAGTATGAAATACAATGTTAGGCAACACCACTGGTTAACAAAGACGACGCTCTGCTCCCTGTCAGCCCACAGCAGGACAGTCACTGCAACGGAAAGACGTACACAGGATGAATCCAACCTCCCTCCCTCACTCACTCTCTCTCTCTCACACACACACACACACACGCACACACACACACTTTTCTGCCGCCACTCTACAGGTAAGGTGCCATCTCCTCATCGCTTCAGTTCCCTTCATTGTTTTTACTTAAAAAGGACCACAACATGCTTTGAGGACAAGGTGGGGGAGATGAGCGGGAGTAAGCAGGTGTTTGTGAAAAGCCTAAAAACCTTTGCCAGGCACTTGGCAGACGAAGCAAGATTGGACACACGAGACTGAGCACAACCTGCTGCAACCAAAAGCAGATGCAGCCAGATGTCTTCGTTTTTGTTTGATCTTACTGGTCACGGGATGACTGACAGGATATGAACCATGAACCTTTTTTTGGTTTTTTTTATTTTAACACAAAATTAACCAATTTTGAGCTTGACGGTTCATTCTTGACCTTAGACACAGTAGCTGATAAAACAATCTCAAATTAAAGTCCATCATCAGCTTCTCACCATATTAATCAGTCTTATAGATGTTTTAACTTTCCACCATTGTCAGCACTTTCTCATCTATGTTGGCTGAAAAGTCCATGTGGTAAAGCACAGTCTAACACTAATAAATATTGAGTGGAGATTATTTTATCAATCATATTAAATTAAACTAAATCCAATTGATGCTTTTATCTTGTGAGGTACAGGACAGTTGCATCTCCTGTAGAAATTATGAACACATATATAACATCGCTCTTTGTTGATACTGTTCACAACTCATTTGTAACGTCCTGAACATGTAACAGGCTCAAAATGTTGGCAACCACTGAGTGATCCAATCATGTTTAATCTACATGTGTGACTGAGGAGCAGGTGTGCCAGGTTTGAACAGTATCTATTGACTGATGAGTAGTTTGAACCTGCTTGGAGCGGCAGGCCCGGTGAGGTTTTTTTGGTTTTCCAGATTGTGTTAAGTTTGGAAGAAAGTTTAAGTTCTTAACTCAAATTTATTTAGTGCTGGAAACTGTTAAATGATTAACCATTCAAGTATTTTTAAAGCAGCAATTGTTCCAGCTACTAAAGTGTAAAGATTTGGTAGTTTTATTATGATTGGAAATTGATTTGGAAATTTTTTTTTAAATCAGTATCGGGCTTGATTAATTGAAAAAAAAGACAGGTTGATTGAAAATTAAAATAGTTCAAAATCACCTTTTAAACCGTAATTTAATGACCTGGTTTTTGAACATTTATTTGTTTTTATTTCTAGTTTAATTGTCTTAAAACACAATGTCAAGTGTTATAAATCTCTAACTAACTGATGCCTGAACTTCCACCTATCTGGCACACAATGTAGATTAAAGCAAACACAACTGTTAGCAAATACTACTCAAACAAAATGTGATGTGGACAAGGTGCCAAATAGATAAAATACCTCTTTACATTTTGAAACATTTCATTTTTCTAGTGTTTGTGTTAAAGTGTAAAACTGAGTTTTTGTTGTGGAACGTAGGATTTTCGCTTCCAAAGATGGATGGAGTATTAAACAGTCTGTCGGGACTTTGAGAGAAGACACTTTATTTAGCCTTTATTTACTTTGATAAACTGAGGGAGGATTAATTATCTACTAAACAATATTTCCTCTTTGAAAATATAAGATGTTACTTCCCAGAGACATGGACAGATTTCAGCAAAAAGAAAACAAGTCGTCCCCATGTAGCATCATCGCCATCTTTCTTCTCCTCTGCAACAACCTCAACAGATTCACTTAAAACAAGTGCAGATTTCCAGTTTTGTTTTGCTTCAAGCCATAAAAAGTTAATTGTTTATAGCAAGATCAATATTTTAAAAGTCATAACAAGAGTAATAGTTTGAGATGAAAAAGGAAATTTGATTTTTTTTTTTCCTGTAACCACAGTAAAACTCAACCCGGACACTTTTTCCTTTCTTTTTCTTTTTTTTTCCCTCTTTACGTAAACACTTTGACCGCCTTCACTTTTGAATGGACGGGCACACACACACACACACACACACACACGCGCACGTGCACACGGCTCAAGCTGGCTCAGAAATGATAAACACACTCTCACAAAGGTCTTACTTTTTCACTTTTTTTCATTCTGAGAGGGAACAGTTTTGTTCTTGAAATACAGTACCCATCTATTTCTCTCTACCTCCCTCTCTCACTTAGAGAGAGAGACACACACACACACACACACACACACACACACACACACAAACACATGCACACACACACGCTCATTAAAGCCATCTCATTTAGACCGTCCTCTCAGTTCCCACGGTAACCTGGCTGGAATGTAGTGGCGCTTAGGACACACACACATATTCTCACACACACTTAATTCACAGGTAAACAACACGTTTTCTGGAGGACGGACAGGTGTGGTGGGTGCGTGTGCGTGTGTGGGGTGAGGAAAGTGATGTTTGTTTTTTTTTTGTTTATTTTTTTTTAACGGGAGCCTGGAGGTTTCAAGGTCCCTCATCGCATCCCTCATCAGCGGTTCATTCTGACCTTTGACCCCAGCCAGGCGACGCCCACCACGACATCAGCAGAGACAGGACGAGGGTGAGGCACATGAAGAGTGCAAATGGGTGTTTCTTTACAGGTTAGGGGGTCCTATGCGTGTTCGTGTGTGTGCAGAGACAGCATGCATGTTTGAGGTGTCTGCAAGTGCAAAAGTGTGTGTTTTTGTGCAAGTGTGTCTGTCTGTGTGTGTGTGTGTGTGTGTGTGTGTGTGTGTGTGTGTGTGTGTGTGTGTGTAAAAAGTGCATTCCTCGTGTGTGTGTGTGTGTGTGTGGCTTCAACCCGTGACCTCCTTGTGTCCTCAGCAGCCAGAATGATAATAACAAAGTCTTTTTTTTTTATCATTGTCTTTTCCCTCTAATGGCCGGTAAGTCTCTGAGGGCCACAGTCAGTCGGCGAGGTTCAGGGTCTACTAAGCTGAAAACTAAAAAGAAAAAACAGGATCCAGAGATGTCAGAGATTGGAGCCGTCCAGGAGATGAACCTCCTCCTCCTCGCTGTCGTCTCCTCCTCCAACCCGGCCGTCCTGGAAGGAGCGGATCAGTTGAACATGATGGACTCGGGATCTTGGTTTGCCATTTGAGCCATGTGACGAAGGATATCTTTTTTTGTGATAATACCAAGAAGCCGCCTGCAGGTGGAGACAGAGGAGAGGAGGAACAGGAAAGAGAAGGGGGGGGGGGAAAGAGGTTTAGTGAAGTGAGGAGGATCTGGTGGTTTGTAGTGAGGGAGAGAAAACAACATCATGTTTTTGTTGGCAAGGAAGCATCCAATCAGAGAGAAGCACATGATTTTAATTTTATTCCATTTTGGTTCATTGGTAATGAATTATAAAAATAAATGTCTGGAGCCAACAAAAACATGAGTCCCTGAGGAAGCAAAAGTCAGCAGGAGGAGAGGAGTGAGGAGGAGGAGGTGAGTAAACCAGAGGAGGAAGAGATGAAAGCAGGTCAGAAACAGCACCCGACTACCCTCTTCAGAGCAGGGTGTCATTTCGGACCCTGCACCAGTTTTGGTTTTATGTTATTGGTCCAAAAAGAGGCTGGTGAGAAGAAGGAAGAACTGGATCCTACAGGGGAGACGGGGAACACTGAAGAGCATGTGGTGAAAAGTTAAAGCCTCAGAGGAGAAGGAGAAGAGGAGACACGTCCCTGTCACAGGAGGCTGAAATCATTTAAGGAGATGGAAGTGGAGATGGGGAATTCACTTTTGTCTTTAATGTCCCACTTTGAGTTACATTCAATTGTTTGTGCAACTGAACACACAGCTGATCGGATATTACAGCTAATTATAGCCATCATAGCTAATACACCTGGATTAACAACAAAATGGTAGAAAACTACTTTATGGTCCAATAGTTTTATATATTTCTACATTCTGCTTTTCATGAGAAGCTTTGAAATCATCTCTTTAACAAGCTCTCGTATGTGAATCTGTCTGATTCTTCTTTTCATTCCTTTTTATAGTTAAAATGTCTAAAATGACTAAACCACAGCTTCCATTTAAACTGCAGCGTTTCTCAACACCACAATAGGATTTAACAGACAATGTGACTCTGTTTCACACAAACAGACAGAGTGAGACCAGAAGAGAGCGCCGTGACAGGACACTCAATATTTTCATTGTGAATTCAAAGTTTCTAAACCGTGGGACAGAGCTGCTTCCTCCTCCTCCTCTCCTTCAAGTTTTAAGCACTTTTACGTTAACCAAGTCTGACTTAGTCCCTAGCATGTTTCTGAAAACTCAGTCGGTCAGAATTATTCCGTCTGAACCAAGAGCACAGATGAGATTCGTCTAATTATAAAATGGCTTTGATTTCACAGCTACTTCAACATTACAAATGATTAATTAAGTTCTGTTTGTGATGCTCTTGAATTCAGGCATGAATGTAGTCTGAGGTCAGGTGAAGAGAAGCATCTGAAGACTTAAGGAAACAGCTGAAAGCGGTGAGTAGAAGCTGTCCATCTGCTACAGAGCTACAAGAGTGCAGAGCTGGGTCCAAAACGTTTAGTGCGGTTTGTTTTTAATACTGTGAGGTGGAGTAGATTCATACATTCAGCTTCGTTTGAACCCTGGAGAGTCAAAAACAAAGAGTCTAGAAACAAACATTTGAACCCAGGTCTGTGTGAGAGGAGTTGAGAGGACCTGTGGTGGGATTAGAGCTACAGCTACTGAGCAGCAGGAGGCATGAAACACTGGTGAGACGTCACACAGATCAGACACGGGTTTCCCAAGAGCTGCTGAGATCTGCAACCGTCGTGCTCATTTTCTGACTAATGAAACAAACGCAGACAGTTGCAGACACTTGGGATACCAGGTGCAGATCAAAGGGTATCAGGGATGCAGGGACAGGGGAATTAAATGCGGTGTTCCCTGTAAGTCAGCGGTGTCCGAGTTCAGTTCCAGGTAATGACTGGAACCTCTGACCAGGAAGTGAAATGTTACCTAGAACTAAACTTAAAACTAATTTACAATACAAAATAAAGCTGTAAGAAAATATAAGACTTTTCTTGCGAAGTGGAGAAGGTATGCTAACACTATTCTGTATCAACAGTGGACATGTTGCTGGACAGTGAAAAAGGACATTTCAACTAAATATTCAAAGGTCACCCTCATTTTGTTTCTACTGAGGTCAGCTTCTACTGCAGCTAAAGATTTTCCTACATTTCCCAGAATGACTCAGCAACCATCAGGCAAGAGGTTTAACTGGCTGAACTCACTACGCGTTGGCTCAGAGAGCAACAGTGTTTGTATGGGCCTTTTGTGTGAGAGTGTAATAAAGATGCTAAATAACTCCTCAAGAGCCTCTACGAGCACCATTCAGTGAGTGTGTCTTTCTTTTGTTTATAAAGCAAAGATGCACTTCAAGGCTTTTCTTTTTTTTTTTTTTTTTAAACAATAAAAATCTTTTTTTTTTCTCTCTTGAAACTGGACAGGACACCGGCGGCTTAGAGCAAACACTGGCAGGTTAAATCATGGGATTAGTATTTACTTCATCAAGGTAATGTTATCACACCACGTTAACTGGGCAGCGCTCTACAGCGCGACTAGAGCCAATCAACACAACAACGTCACTCCACCACAGTGCTCACTACCACTACAGGATGGGGGTAATGGGGGTAATGGGGGTAATATGGGGATGAATCGTATCACTACAGAGGTTCTCCCTCCCCTTCAATAACAAATTCCACCCTTTAAAAAAAAAAAAACATTAAAACAACGGTGGTCCGCTTTCCCAAGGCGGCTATCTACTCGCCAAGTGGTTGTTAAGGCGACGAGTCAGATGTCGTCAATCTGTGGAGACCCAGGGCGAAACGGTGGGGTTGAGAGGGGAGGGGTTTAAAAACAAAACAAAAAGAAAAAAAAAAAAGGAAAAAGCAGTCGTTAATGAAGACAGAAAACTGAGGGTGGGTGAATACTTTCAAAATGAAATGACCAACTACTTAACAAACAACAGGCATCATGGTTACATGACGGCAGACATGCTGAGAAATTATATCTACCACTGAATGTCTGGTTCTACAGTATGTGATCGGATCTCTGCCAGAACACGTCTAAGCTTTGTAGCTACTACACATCAGGAAATACAAAAAACATGAAGGTGCTAGCATGACGCAGCTGACGCGGCACTAAGCAGAGCTGCAGTAGCTACAAATGCAGTTTAACAGGGACGAGCTGCAAAGCTGCGCTCTGGGAATCTAACGAGCACGTTTCAGACATGTAATCTGTAACACTGCTGGCTTCATCTATCTGTTGAACGACTGGCATTCAAACACAAACTACAGGATCAAATAAGGGTCAATCAGGCTTGTGAAATGATCTTCAGAATTTATCTTAAAGCTCATCTTAAGAAATTCAAGTTAGTGAATGTGTAGAGGTTTGTGATTGTGGAAAAAAAAGCTTGTGGACTGATTATATCAGTGGTGCGGTTACACAAAAGCCCTGAGAAAACGCGAACACCAACACAGTCATGTTACATAAAAAGTTAATACTTAACAAAATTGACAAAAAAAAAAAAAAAAAGGATTTTTGGCACCAAGCAGGGCTTTGACTATAACAATATTTCTCAGCATCATTTCACCACCTCAAAATCTTCTTGGCCCATATTTGAGCTCATAACAGACCTCCGTAACCTAAATGCTAGCTGCAATGCTCGAGAGGGAGCAGTGGTACCGCTTCGTCAGTGATGGATTTTAAAATGTATTTTGCATTTGAAAGACTGCTCATCTCTGCGGTTTAAGAAGTTCATGAGGGACACTCCCCTCAGCTTCTCACCAGTCTTATCAACTCAGATTTCTGAAAACATTTCGTCACTGGTGTCATCATTTGTCAGATAAGATAAAGAACTCTGCAGCCTGCGTCAGAATCTACAATCTGAGTCTGACTATTTGCTTTCACATGCGTTATGGGAAAGTTTTTGCCGGATATTCACGCTGTGAGCAGTTTGCATGATTTAAAGCTGAAAGTGTAGGGAGACTGATGAAGTGATGCTTTTAATGATTTTCAAAGTGCGTTTTTACTCTTTCCTCACCACACCACAACGAGAGGCAAAATAAATTACACATCTTTCTACAATTTTCACCAAGTTAAATTTAAGACTTAAAATCAGCTCAGTAGCTGTTTTTGTTTCATCATTGGCTTTTTTAAATTCTTCTCATCCACTCCGACTTAAAATTAAAGCAAAGTTCATTTTTGACCTTCATATGGTTGAAACCTTTATATTTTTTAGATGATAATTAAATGACTAATTTATTGCAGTGTTCCTAAAAGACAGAGAAAGTCACTCATTTAAACTCTCTGGGTTTATTTTTTATGCTGCTGTAGTCTTCATGTTAACGTGACAGCATTTAACTCAGACCTGAAGAGTGTTGAAAATTTTATGGAAATGTTACAGGGTCCTACCTAGTAAAAAGTGCTGTCACAACTTTTACAGACAATAAAAAACTCAGGGAGTTAATAGAAAAAATATATCGTCGTGTTTAACGGTTTAACTGCCAGCACTTTTACGTAACGATGCACATGTCTGAAAGGGGCTCTAAAGTGATGTGGGTGACAGTTCCCATGGAGGTCCAACATTACAGGACCCACAGTAAACACAAGAAAGCTTTTCTGCCCGATGTCTCCAAAAGTGCAACAGCTACCGGCAATGAAGATGGAGGTCAGAGAACGCCTATGTGCGTATGTTTCTCTAAGATGAACGACTTCATTAAAGGTGAATCCACACCAACCAAACCAACCCATGAACAACAGAGTGCAAACAGTAAGAAAGAAAAAGAACAGGGAGGTCTTAATGTTTAGCTGGGAACTGTCAACAGCCTTTCACACCAAGTTTCATGCATCCCTCCTAAGAGGCGGAGCCTAAGAGACAGGTGTGATAGTGTGGGAGGGGTCACATGTGTGGGGTGGGGCTAGTCACCAGGGGCTCCGTGTGCTGCTTGAGCTCCTCCAGATGCTCTAATATATTCTTCTTTGTGATGATGCCCAACACAATCCTGAAACACACACCTGTTACTCGGTAAACTGCCCAAAAACAAAAACAACAAACAAACAAACAAAAAAACAACAAACAAAGAGAAACAGAGAGAGAACAGACAGCGGCAACACAAAACATACATAACAGGGTGCAACTTAAAATATTAAACAGATAAAAATAGTTACACAATTCAATTAACACAAAAACAACAAAACTGGATAAAAACTAAAATATTATGTCAATAGCATCTTAAAATGTAAATTATATCAAATGTAGTGTAAGAAAATCAATGTCCAAGTACAAGTTTGGTGATATTCTATATTTTTCTTGGTGTCAACAAATTCAATGAAAAGACAAAAAGCAACAAATTATTAATCTTTTGTCTAAGTATCCAAACTCTGATTGAAAAGCTTTCCTGTTCCTGTTAAACATTAACGAGGTAACATCATTACGATAAACATGGGCACTGTAGTTTATTTGAAGATGGTTCCACATAAACTGTTCTGCTGTCATAAATACTCACTGGAGCACCAGAGGTGTATTGATCCCCAGTTTAAAATAGTCCCCAACGAATGCACTGTTTACTGTTGGAGTAACATTTGATTAAAGACTACAGCGCTCCAGCTGTTTTAGGAAATGACTGAGTCTTTAAAAAGAAAAATAAATCCATATATCTTTAAAGATTCAAAGATGACGTAGGCCACAGACAACGTAGAGAAGTTATAAAGTACTAAGGGATGAATGAACATCACAACTATACTTATGAAATTTGTTGGCATTAAGAAACATATAGAATAACACCAGCCTCATCCTTTAAGATGGACATTTAAAAAATATTTAAATAAAAACAAACACTGCTGCACAGCTCCTTTCTAGTGACGGTAACAACTGATCTGTAAACTGAGGAGTTTATCAGATATTACAGACAATCAACCCTGTAATTCCTGCATCACACCAGCAGGTGGCTCTGTGCAAAACACAAGTCTGTAAAAAAAAAAAAAAATTAGACTGGACCTCCTGACAGTGTGCATCAAACCGATCACGAGATATTTGTCATGTATTTCCACTAACTGTAAAAAAACAAAGCCAGACACTGTTATAAATTAATGGGGGAAAAACCTTAAATGTTCAGATTTCCTGTCAACATGCTTCTTCTCTCAGATTCAGAGCACAAATCGAATGGTTTTCCTGACCGACTATATTCTCCTGGCACGATACCTGTTATGTAGTTGTAGTTAGTTTCAGCAGCTCAGTCTCTTCTACTGAGGAGACTGTCTGTTATTGCTCAGTAGGAGGATAAAGGGAGCGCAGCACAGCGGTTAGGCCAGGCCATGCAGATTACAGGGTAAATCCAGGGGTCTGAGAGCCCATGCAACACCAGACAGTGTGTACATGTGTTTGTGCAATGTTTGTCAACTTCAGACGGGTTAGTCAAACGTAACGGCACCGAAGAGAAAAAGATGGGGAGAAGGATTCGCCTTCTCCTCTTCCTGCCCATCTTCTTTTATTCCCTGCTTTTCAGTTCCTACTTACCCGTTGTGAGTGACCAGGCACTGGCGCAGCCCCAGCTTTCTGAAGATGTCCACCACGATCTCCATGGGTGTGTGGTCGGTGACGGTGAAGGGGCTCATGTCCAGGATGGAGCGCAGCTTGAGGGGCCGAGGGCTGTCGGCCGGCAGGGTGGGTGCGTGCTGAGTGAAGTACACCCTGGAGTTCAACATGATGCCCTCCTGCTTACGACGCGCATTTTCTGAGGAGAAAGGAACGAGGAGGAACAGGGGAACAAGAGATGTGGGAAAAAGAGACACGTGCATTATAATCAAAGGATTGTACCTTAAATGAATCCAGGCACCAGACAGACCAAGTACAACTCTCATGCTGTATAACTGTTCTTACATTTTGCTGTGAAATGTGGGAGAAACTACTTTGTTGAAACAGTCTTGCTCTGCAGCGTTACCTATAGCGATAGTGATGTCCCTTCGCAGAGCAAAGCCCACCAGCCTCTGGGACTCCTTGGACACTATCACAGGGAAACCATTATAACTGGTTTCATTGATGACGCCCTGCAGCTCCTCCACCGTCAGGTCGTCCTGCGTCAGCACCGCTAGCGGCGGGTCGCTGCGTCGTGGCCTCATCACCTCCCTGGCCAGCGTGGTGTGAGTGAATTCTTCCTTGGCGTCGAGGAAGGGGTATCCGTTCAGACGGATGTGGGCCTCGTAGATTCCCTCGCGGCCGAACGCGTCACCCACCCATTTGCTGGTCATGACGGCAGCCATGAGGGGGACGATGTACTCCAAACCGCCTGTCAGCTCGAACACAATGACCACCAGGGAGACCGTCATACGGGTCACACCACCTGCACACGGAGGAGAGTAAGAAAGTAACATGTAAAAAAAAAAAGAATATTAGCCCCATCTAGAGACTGAAACAAAAACATGTAATCTTAATTATTCAAAACAATAACTCAATTTTTTAAACTCACTCTACAGAGGTCTACCTGTAGGAGCTGGGGTGGATGACATGACAACATCTTCGATTACAGTGTATGTAATTTTATATCTCAACAGTGATACAGTATTTATCGAGATCGTTTATTTTATAGAAGAAAGAAACCATTCATCGACAAAATAATGTGGCCTATTTTTTTTGTCTAATCCAGTGAATTGAATACCCGGAAAAAATAAATGTAATTTATCTAATTGAAAGCAAAAATGAATCAGTCCAGTTTAGTCCAAAATTTCCTCATACAACCAGATATGAAAGAGATAGTGCTATAAACTCTGTTTCAAAAGATCTGACAAATGCTGCTTTAAATCATCATTATCACTCAACCCCTGTTCGAAACAAAGCATTAAAACAAATACATAACTGTTGCCATACTATCTGCTGACTCACCCAGACATGCCGCAGCCCCCACCATGGCGTAGAGCCCCGGAGTGATGCAGTCGGCCCCGACCTCGCACCACTCTTTGAACAGGAACCAGTCATGGTGGTAATAGGCCAGCTGCTCCACGGCAATGCCAACGATTCGGCCTGCGATCGCCCCGATGGCCATGCTGGGGATGAACAAGCCCGACGGCACCTGGGGACGAGGAAGTGGAAACTGGGTTTAGTTGTTGATAAAGACGTGTAGGTTAAAACTTCTGCTCTGTTCGGAAGAAACATCCGGGGATCACCTTGAGTCCAAATGTGAATATGGTCATGATGATTTTAAAGATCAGCGCCAGGCAGAGTTGCCACATGGCAGCGTAGACGCCGGGCCCCGCCGGGCGGTTGGGGTTGTCAGTGAAGGCCTTACTTCCGTTCATCTGGCTGCGGTACTGGCAGAGCTGCGACGACTCAAGAGGGCCGCAGTCGGTGAACAGCTCCTTTATCAGCTCACTGGTGTTCTGACGGGTGTACGGGTTCGGGAAAGCAACCACGGCTGTGATGGTGGCCACGAAGATCACCTCCAACACTGGGTACTTTCCTGAGGAGAGAGACAACACAACGTGAGACTCTGTGGGGAAGCTTTTAGCATGATGTTGCATATTCAGGAAATTACAAAGAACCAGAGTTGTCTGTTAAATCAGGAGCCGTTGGTCTGACAGAAGGTCCGACAATAGTGATGCAATGTGAAATGCTAGTTGCATGACCTACTACATCTTCTGTTTCTGTCTCTATGCCTCTACTTTAACCCAAATCACTGAAGTGAACATATTATAAGTGTGACAGGACGTTAAAGTGTAAATACCTCAAACATTTGGAATATATGGTTTTAGCTCACTCAGCGTTTTTGTTTTCCATCACTGTCACTGCTGTCGTCTGTTTGTTTTAGCCAATATTCCAAGCACATTTACTGAAACTATTTCTTAAATGAGCTGTTACTCAGTAAGTATTTCCAGCTGTGCGTGCATGTAAACAATGGTCTGTCTGCTCACAGCCTGGTAGGGGGACATATTGGCTGTTTGCTAGAGAATATCAATGTGTTCAGTCATTCATGTTTTCTCCACAATGATTTATTCCCACATCTGCTGGACGTCACATGGCAGCCCATGTGACGTCTTTCTGCTCGTACAAACAGCTCACAGTGACCTGGACGGCTTCACGTCTTCACCTTCTCATGTCACACTTACTGATCCCAATCCTGAATTAAGACAAAGTAGTTACCGAAGCGTGTTGACTTGCGCCGCCGGCACCAGGCGATGTTGGCTCGGATGAAGAAGGCTCCCCAGAGACCTCCAAAAACTCCCAGAAGGATGAAAGGGATGAGCTCAAACAGGTACCACGGCGTGTGATACTCCACGTAGAACAGCACCAGACGGCTGTTACCAAAGGGGTTGATGGACCGCAGGACGAAGGCCGCCACAAGGGCGGCAAAGAAGGAGCGCCACAGCGTCTTGAGAGGGAAGTAGTAGCTCACCTGGAAGAGAGAGAGGAGAGTTTGGAGCATGAAAATTCAGCTGTAGAGTAATGTCTGGTTCGATCAGGAGTGTAAAAGGACATTTCCTGTACCTCCTCCAAGCTGAAGAGAACTCCTCCTATCGGGGCTCCAAAAGCCACCGACACCCCAGCCGCCGACGCAGCAGAGAGAACCTGAGAGGACAAAACAAACGCACCTCAGCTGACATGATGGCTTCTAAAATGTGGTCGCAAAACACCTATATTTAAATGGTCAAATATCATAACAGCCACCACGTCTTCTCTCTCACCTCTCGTTTCTTGGCCTCGTTCTTGCTGTACTTGGGGAAGAGGTAGGAGAAGATGTTCCCACAGCAGCAGGCCACGTGGACCAGGGGACCTTCCTTCCCCAGGCTGAGGCCGGACGCCACAGCCAGCACTAGAGTAATGGTCTTGATCATCAGCGTCCACTTGCCCAGGTAGCCCCGGATGATAAACCCACTCAGGATGGTCTTGATCTGCAGGGAAAAGGGTGGGTAGAGAGAAAGAAGATTAAAATGAAGTCGAGCTACAAGGATACATGCAGCATAGTTCAGGGTGTGATTCCCATGGAGGTCACAAAGGGTAGAAACACCTTATGGCATCTTCATTTTCATTATCCTTTGCTTTTGCTCTTAAATTTATTGATTTAAGGCTATTAAAAGTTAAGAAAATGTAGATGGTTTAGTTGTTTTGTCAATCAACTAATCGATTAACTATCGCAGCTCTACTTCACACATTCTACGAAGTGCATAGAAACAGTGAACGTCAGTAATTAAGAATTAATTAAAATGAAGAGACAGATGACATCATACGTCCCACCTTCGCACTGTAACAAAACCACGGATCAAACCGCAAAGATGTTCAATTTAATATGATGTAAAAAAACAAAAACTGCATTTTTGATTATTAAATAACTCAAAAAATTATCGACGTAGTTATGCTTTTACCAGACAGTGAACAGTAGAGAGCTGACAGGAAATGGGGCGAAAGAGAGAGGAGGATAATGACATGCAACAATTTCCAGGCTGGAGTCACATCAGGGACAGAACCAGCGTATTTTCAATTTCGCTTTTTCAATCTCTTTAAGCAAATTCACTCATGTTTTTCTTCAGTTGCATCTCTGTCTGATCCTCTCCTTTATTCTCTTCCTGTCAACAGTTTCAAAGTCACAGACTACCACACAATTTCCCCGGCAACGCAGTTCTAGTTTTCTTGTTCCCACGGCAACAAAAAGGAAACATTTATTTTGAAACCTCAGAGCTCTAACCTCAAAATGGCTTTTTCACAGTGCGGTCGAACCTGTCCCGTCTCCCTGCTGCCCACTGAATTAACAATTTTAAGCCACTTCTAGGGCATTAAAGGGAAACCCACGAGCATGAAAGCACACTGGGTGGATCCCAAAAAGTACACATTACCAATTAGATCACTGTCATGGAGAGTCAGGGGCAGCTGCAGAGATTTCATGCGCAGCTCGTAGGTTCTGACACCCACAGCAAATCGATGAAAGAACCGAGGCATAAAACAAAACATCAATAGTCTACAGAAATCCCACACAAGCTTCTTTTCTTACTCTGAAACAGAAAGAGAGACACACAAAAAGAGATTGCCGACTAGCCTTATTAGTTTAGTGGCAAATATTGGCCAATCTTTTACCAAATGAGTAAAAGTTCAAAACTTCTTGTCAGGAAAAAATGACACTAAAGCCAATCCTTACGTCTCGGTTGACGGAGTTTCTTCAATGCATTACCAAGGAGAGGTTTCCGAATGGACTGTGAATGCAGCTACTCGCGAGTTTCAACTGTACTTTTGTGAGAGCACAATTTTCCTCACCTCAGGGATCCCTGAGCCGCAGGCGTAGGGAGCAAACACCTTTACCAGACAGACAGCCAGGAAGGCGAAGGACAGAGCCCAGTAGATGTACATGAAGTAGTTCATGATGTACGAGCCGGGACCCTGAAGTGAGGCGAGAAAGACGAGAGAAGGTGAAGTAAAAGAATAAACAACTGGAAACTCACCAGCACCAAATATCATACAGTATAACATGTAGTCTGGAAGTGTGAGAGCATTGGCGAGCATGCATGTGTGCTGTGCAATTATCTCTTAATACATCTTTCTTTACTATAACGAAGCTCCCCCTCCTCCCTTTGTCACTGTAACTTCTGCTGCATTCAGGTAATGAGGGAAAAGTTATTGGGGTTATTGGGTCTGAACTGACGGCAAACATCATCAATAACACATTAGAACAGTAGCAGATCAGAAAACAGAGAGGCTTGTTACTAAAATATAACAGAATATACGTGTAGAGGAAGGGAAAATAAAAACCTCTCTTCTCTCTGACGTTGATGTAATCAATTAAAATATTATTGAGCAACAGAAAAATGTTGCTGCAGTGACTGACGGGCCTCTCGTGTGCCTGTGTTAGTCTACCTCAGCCTGCCCCAGTATTAGCTCAGCCCAGCTCTTCCACTGGGGACACTTGTCCCGCTCAGCGAAGGTGGTCTCATTGGACGTCCAGCAGCACTGCTCGTGGTTGAACCACATGGCGCTCAGACACACGCCCTCCTTCAGGTCGTTCATCCAATCAGCAGCAATGTCAATAAGGCCAGCCAAAGCACCTGGCAGAAGGAGGAAGAGGAGGAAGGAAAAGAGGGGGCAAAGAGGTGAAGGCAGGGAGGTGAGAGGAGGTAGAAAAAGAGAAAAAAAGGAAAAAGGTGTTTGGTGGCTGTTAGCTTGCTAATTGCCCGTTATCAATGTCACTGTACCAAAGGAAAATACAAAATGAGTCCTGATGAATCTGCGATCAGGCTGCTCTTTCATTTGCATCCTTCTCTTAAAATGTAGTGCTTTTCCTGATGGCCAAACAACAGGGACACCTACTGTCACACTCCCTAAATATTTACCTACATCAATGCAAAATGGAAGTTTTTGTAAACAAATCACTACAGAAATGTTAATATATACAAGGAAGATCCACATCATATGGCGGACACTTCTCTGAATAAATATTATAACTATATTTTAAAAGTCAATGATGGTCTGAATTAAATTAAATCCTTAAATTACATATTTAAGGCCAACATGTTGCAGGTCAGATGAGCCTTTATCAGCTGTGTTACAGGCTCATTTAGGCAGAAAAATGTCGGTCCGTACATCAGACCTTTTTATTTGGATAAAAGCAGGGGAACACAATGAACCCATTTCTTATTTCTCTTCCTTTGTAACTTAGAGAAGCTTCAAAAAGGCAACTTTACTTTGACTAGGGTAGTACAGGGGCTGGTCGGTTTTCTTTCTCTTGGTAGTCGTAAAAACATAAATAATGTGTGGATCAGAGGACTGAGCTCTGGTCTGGTGAAGAAAGTGTGCTCATGAGAAGTGGGTAAAAGAGAGCAAAAGACAGAAGAGACGAGCTGTAAGACTGAGCGTGGACTGCCTGAGGCGAAGCATGTGAGAGTCACCAGCAGAGGAGACAACAGCTGTGAGTCTGCGTGCTTGTACAGCATGTGTGAATGTGTGTTACCTGAGGCCAGGCCGGTTAACGTCACCACCAGCCACCCTGACCAGGCGTCGTACAGGCTCTTTGTGAACTCCCATGCCGACTCCTTTTTCTTACTGTTTATCTGAAAACACAGAGACAAAAAAAATCATAAGAAGGTAGATGGCAGTGATGCCAAAGGTTTGAAAATACCAATGATAAGTCATTCAGTGATCTGCTCTTGTGGCATGATTTCCACTGTTGCTTCAATAAAACTGATGTTTTCTGTAAGGCAGGATAAGACCAGGTTATAAAACCAATGTTTGACCAAGTATTCAAATACCAATCAAATTCTCAGAGTTATCATTTCCGGGACAGCTGCACTAAAGGGCAGGAAAATTGAGTCAATATTTGGATAGACGTGTTGACAGAGACAGGTGAATCAGTGACGAGTTGTGGGCGAGGAAGACGACAGTTTATTGTGTGTCCATTCATTCTGGTTCATTCATGACATCTGCACAATTACATTTCTACACTGTCGAGTTCATTCTTGACCTTGGTCTTGGAATTTATTTCTTGTCAATCTACATTTCTACAATAAAAATAGTTGCCTCAAATATTTGATATTACATTCTTTTTCCTCGATTTTCCAAGGATCAAGTTTTGTTTTTGTATGTTTGTTGGGCTGATGGATCCGCTGTTAAGCCTTCGAGGCTAAAATTGCTGATCCTAACTACCCAGTTCTTCTTTTGTACGACCCAAACAAACCGCTGCTGCTGCTGCAGGAAATGTGCGACACATCACTTCCTGTGCAGTGGAGGATTTTTTTGCTGACACCAGCTAACGTGAGAGCTTTATGAACTGGAAACGGGCCAAGCCACAAACATACCTCTGACTGCTTAGTGTCAAATTAAACATCTTAGTTACAAAGCACATCCAAGCAGACCCTGTGACATGCTTCAAACAAAGTGTGTCCGTGTCTAACAGCATCTGAAAATTCCTTTCTAATTGCACAGGTGTGTGAAGGTGTAAAACAACAACGTGAATATATCAGAGCTCCGTTATTCCTTTTGTAATGATTGATTTCATGTGGATTAAAAAGACAAGACGCAAAAGACATTAAACTGTGGGAGAGAAACTGGGGAGGCAGGAGGAGGATATGACAGCCAATCAAAACAGGTATAAACCCTACTACCTTTAGTCTGACAACAAGTCATATGAAAAGTTTGTTTGAAGCCTATGGAGGATTTAAGGAGTCCTCACCTTCCTGTGTCTCTCGCGGTCCTTGCATTTCTCGCGCACCCAATCGATGGTGTGGAAGTCGTCATAGGTCCCCACACCAGGGATGGGCTCCTCTAGGAAGTCCAACAGGTGTGTGGTGCTGCTGGCAACCCCGCCCCCGTTAGACATGGCGTAGTTAGACCCTGAGCAGGAGAAACAGACAGAAAGCCTTTAATTAAACAATATACAGTTGATAAACCATATACAAGCAGAATATATATATATATTATATGCAAGCATGTTAGGATTTAAAAAAAAAAAAAGAAAAGATTGTGATGCGGTTATTTTGGCTGTGCTGCTCTGCTGTACATGTGATCGTTACAAATGATCCTGAGAAACAGAAAGATCCATCACTGCACTGCCTGCTGCTGGCTGCACATCAGAGCTACATCCCCATCAGAAACACTGCTCAGCCACGCTGAGAAAAACCCGTAAGGCCTGTAGTTCATCAACTCATCTGGAACCGAAGCTAGTGGAGGCTTATGTGCACTGTTGCAACATTTGAATGAGCAAACAGTGCTGAAACACCTGGAGGAAATCTTTTATCCATACTTTGTACAGTCAGAGCTCCCTGCTGGTCTGAGATGCAGCTCACTATGTGTGGGTGGATGTGTGCATGTATGCAGATGGTCTTTTGTATTTTATTTTTTGAACGTCTAAGCTTTCAAAAAGTCAATCAGCAACCTCTACTAAAAGCTCTTTCTGTACAAACCAGACCTGTGACATCTCAAAATGCAAGTAAATGATGTTTTAATTATATTTAAATCGTTTAGCAGATGCTTTGTTGTGGCGCCCTAGCTTGGATGTCTGGCAGTCTCATTAGTGCTGGTCTGATGTTGTCGGCCTACTGCAGGCTGCAGAACAATAGGATTGCCTATAGGCCCAACAACCATGTACAGTCAGTCCTCAATGACTTCAACATGATTAGGATTAGTCACGGCACATATTAATGATTAAACAAAAATAAAGCAAACATTGTCCAATGCCTTTAAATAGATCAGGACAGTGACTTTGCTCATAACAACAAGACTTATGAACATAATTCGTCTGATCTGTTCTGGCTGGATTCAATATGAGAGGGGACAGCATATCATACTGGCTGACTCACATCTGCACACACACAAACACACATGCAAACACACTGACTACAACAGAGAGAGGAAAAGCAGCCCAGAGGTTTATTCTCTCTGACTCTTATCTGGAAAACATCGCAACAGTTACATGGCTGTTATTTGGTTTTGATGCGGCTGCATGACGATAACATGTAATAACATACTGTAGTTCTGAATTAACAATGGGATAATTAAACATCTTCACAGTCTTCAATCCCCATTTTCAAGTATAACAGACCTTTTTCATCAACTTTAAAATGCACGGTCACGTTTAATCTGGCACAGAGTGTGTTTGATAAAATTAGGGACAATCCGTCCTCCAATGTGAAATTGTTCGAGAAGCTGAGCCTCAGCTTCCTACGTGTGATGACACAAATATGTGAGACTTCTTCATCTGCGACACAAAAGCAGCACTGTGTGTAAAAACGACAAAAGAGAGACACAGAGCAACAGTTAAAGCCTCTGCTCAAGTGCTCAAAGGAACCAAAAGGAAACTATTTGCTACTGCTCCAAATGCTTATGTGACACATCTCAAGTCCAACTTGTTTCTCCTGTCTGTGTACATTCACTAATACCAGATTAATCTATTTACACATGGGAGTAATTAGCGTGTTTGTTATCGTTAACAACAGGGTTAAATCTGACGCTGCAAAATGAAACAAAAAAAGTACACTTACTGCTACTGTGACTGCGGCTAAAAACATTAAATTCAAAGAAACTGTGGTATTATAAGTCCAAGTGAAAAGGCAGTTCGAGAATCTTTAGCTTTTGTAACATGATCTATTTCCTCCTGAAAATGGAAACGAATAGGCAGGTGATCATTTCAAGAGTACACCGAGACATAACAGAAAAATTAAGCACAGAGACAAAAATTAAGAGCCAGAAAAATGCAGTTTGTATTTCACTGTGTCTTTAAGGGCAAGTTAACAGCAAAAAAAAAAAAAAGTATTATCTTACCAACCGTTTCTGTTTGATTTGCGCAGCACTGCTGAATGTTATATCACTGTTACTAAGTGAGAAATTCAGCCAATGGCAGTGAGAAAAAACAGATGGGGCTCTGTGATTTTAAACAACGGTGACTTCAGAATCTTGGATAGAAAACAGGATGCAATACGAGCTTGGTTGCCTGAATCAGAATCAGAATTTCTGAAGCCATAGGTGATTATTTCTTTTTCCTTCAGACATCAGACCGTAGCATTGAGATGAGGCCACATAAACACTGTTATACGTTTAGTTTCAGTCATTTCCACCACTATGAGATGCATCCTTTGGTTCCTCCATGCTTTTCTTTTTCTTTTCATTCAGTTTCATGCAGTCTGTCACATATTGGTGCTGCTGCTCAACAAGCAACTGTTGGAAACAGAGGGTGTTACTGAGGGTAGAAAGCCCCTTCAGTCAGAGCTTGACAGATCACAAAGTTAGAACACTATTTTACCTGATGAGCTCAAAGTAAGAAAGAAGAAAAAGAACCAATAAATTAGAGTTAGTTTTCTACTTAAGTGGCACTTAGAGTCAAAAAATCACATAATGTTTATTTGCATTTTCTATATAGTGCGATCTGTAATAATATGAAACAAAAGTGCCTTAGCACTGCTTTGACTTTGTGGCTCTCATGTTGCTAAAGATAAAAGGTGTGAACACAGAAACGTGGGCGAGACCAATACCAACTGAATGACACACTGTGCTTAATGCTAAGCCCAGAAAACCTTGCAGCCTTCTGAACATCCACGATACATTTTTTCCTTTATGTTTTTAATCTCCTGAGCATAACTACAACTGGAACAGGGTCGTACCATCTTATAATGCCTTGATCATAGCTGTTAACTCTTTGTGATCAACATTAAACATAAAAAAAAACCCTAACATGGTCGTAAGCAGGGCCAAAAAAACATTATAAAATGGGATCGACACATCTGAATCCTTTTCCCAAACATTACTGCAACCGCTGCACCATTACCATGTTATTACTATGTAGAAAATGGGCTACAGAGCCCAATGCGCCAGAAAAACAGAAGGGAAAGATTATAAAAGGAGTGTAAATGAGAAGCTGCTTTGTATCAAATCACCTACATCTCAATTTAGAATAAAGGTTTTTCACGCTTGCAAAATTTTTCCACCCCCCCCGAACTGAGACATAAGCAGAGGATAAAGCCGGTTTCCCAAAGACATCTTGCATTATGAACGTGGGCCGTGACAGCGTCTTTGAAAGTGCAGCTTATTAGCTCATATCGCTCCCTTTGATGTTTTCTGGGATGTGGGAGAGGAGAAACAAGTCGAAACCCTTTGGTGGGAATCTCATGTAAGAAGCAGAGACAAAACGGTCAAGTACAGCTTTCATCTGACCAGCCGATACATGTCCGGCCCAGTTAGGAGGAAGGAAACAGAGAGTAAGCTTCTACTGTTGTTGTTGTTGTTGTGGAGTCAGCAGCAGTAAGAGTATAAGGCTTGGCAGGGAGACTGATACTATCTTTCTCCATTTTGATTTCAGTGACAGCCGCAGTCTGGGCTGTTGGGACGGATGGTGTTGTGTGTGTTTGAGTACAGGGCCGGTGGGACGGTGATGACTCAGTTTTTGACTCAATGACAGTAGCAGTTTGATATGGAGGTCTGTTTTTTTTCAAAGGACTGAGAAAAAACTTTCTAGACCTGTCAAAAACAACAAAAAAACTGTTGTTCTAGTGGGTAGTGTGACTTTATAACACCATCTGATTTAAAGGGAATTTTGGTGATTATTTTATGGTTCTTACATTATCCAGCTAATTTCTTCGAAACGCGGTTCATTCAGTTCTGGCCCCAGTTATATTTTGCACATGTAAGCACCATATCCTGGTTCCAGAAACCTGGATTACCTCTTTTCTAGGTTCTGCAAAACCTAACTGGAGTTCAGCAGAGTAATAAATACATCCTTAACTGTTGAGATAAATCAGGTGGAACACAAATGACAGAGCTGCTTGATGTGGAAAAGTCCAAGACAAAGCAGGACAAGAGTCAAAACTAGGATACTTATTTACATGTTAACATACTCACTGTTGCATTTACCATTTTGCCAGAACTTGTAATCCTTGTTGGATAATTATCCATGTATTCTCCTTTTCTTGTAGCTTTCAAATATAGCATTCTAGGTAAGTTCTGTAGTTGTAAGCTATTTTTACTCACTACTTTACTCTTGTTCTCTCAATGAAAATGTATAATTTTCCTATAGGAACTTAATGCTGTTCTTTCACCGGTGATACTTTTTGTTCCTGGTATCAGGGACAATTAAACTATTTTGACAGCATTGGTTAGTCCAGTTTTCTTGTTTTATTTGTTTTTTCAATACAATTCTTGTCTTTTACCTTTAATTGGTGGAGTGTTCCGCTTGCTGCATAGGTACGCACGGTGTAGGATAGAAGAGATGGACTTAGTCAGTGAGGGTTTCTCTCCTTGTAAGACGTCTTTCCAGATATCAGAACGGGATGTGAAACTATGCTGGAGAAGTTTCTTACGCTGTCAGAGCCGCATTGCTATAATGAATCTTGCTCTGAAAGGACTGTACAGCCTGTTCCCGTCACTATATCTTCAGTTCAGAGCACAGCTAGTTTCTGATGCCCAGAGCCAAGACGAGGAGAGCCAGAATGTTTATACAGGGATTGATATGAATTGGGGACACTGCATTTTATATTGATTTTTTAACAGGCCTTTCAAACCACCTATTGTATGAGGTAGTGATGATAATGACTTTGGACTCCATCTTGGTGAACCTTTATGTGTGTAATGGGAAATAAAGATTTAATTCATTCATTCAAAAATCCCTGCCTAAATATTAGTGAGCAACTTTCCAACTACCACTCACTAGTTGCAAATGTTTATAAAACTAAACTAAATCTAAATTAGAAGAAAATATATGAAAAATCTTTGTGGCACAAACCGACTGCAAATATGTCATTGTTTCAATAAATTTGCACCTGAGGGACCTACATGCAGGTGAAATGTACATCACTGACAAAAACCAAGGCTATGACGACAACAGAGCAGAAAGATGAGACTGCTGC